CTAAACCCTAAACCCTAAAACGCCCCCAGACAGAGCCCTACGGTGGAGGTCACGATCGACGGCGGCACCGACCTCGCTTTTAGCGAGGTCCCGCGGTTCTTTAGTGTGACTCTTGTCCGGGTTCTCGATAGGGGATTTAGGGTTTGCGGTTTGGGGTCTAGGGTTTAGGGTTAGGGTTTAGGGTTTAGGGTTTAGGGGTTAGGGTTTAGGGATTGGGGTTTAGGCGTTTAGGGCTTACTGTAGGGTTTAGGTTGTAGGGTTTAGATAAGGAAACCAAATTATTTACTATAGATCCCCATGGTGGTAACTTAAATGAATTCCCCTAACAAGAGCCCAGATGTTGCTCACGGCCTGCTGGGGTTTAGGGTTCGTCAGTTTGTCTTGTTTCTTTGGTTCAGTTCCCCTGTTTAGCGCCTTTAGGGTTTGTCAGGCCCTTTTTGAGTCTTTGAACCTCATGGTTTCGGGTTGTTTGAGTTGTTTGCCCAGAGAACTCAACAGCCCTGAATTAAGGAATACACCTTCAAGTAGAGGGGCCTGAATATTATGATTTCAAGGTATCTTCCTTAACTAAGGGGTATTGGGCTTTCTGGGTGTCTACTTGGTTATACGACGGTTCTAAGTTCTGAAAGCTTCCATGAGGCTAGGGTTTGTTACAGGACCCAGAGCCCTGATGAATAGCCTTCTCATTCAATCTAGGACATTTTCAGGGGGGTAGTTACCGTTAGAGGAGCCTTATAGAAGGTCTATATGCCTTATAGAAGCCCTATGTACCCTAAACTCCCCACCTGTAGTTTCCTTTCATTCAATGAGCATCACAACATTTCTGAGCGGTCCATGCGCAAGAGAGTTTCTCAGTCAGCGGTCTGCATGGCCTTAGTGGCTCCATCCATTCGTTCAGTCGTCAAGCTGCACGTGGCAGCAAACCTGGGCTGCCTCAGAATTCGGTGTAGGGTTCAGGGTGTAGGGTTTAGGGCTTTCAGGGTTTAGGGCTTAGGTTTTAGGGCTTTAAGGGTTAGGTGTTTAGAGGTTTAGGTGTTTAGGGTTTGGGGTTTACTACTCCAAACCCACCTCAACCCAAGGTCTCCAACTCAGAATACTCTGTACGAAACCCCCTGTGGAGAAGCTTGTTTGTACCCTGCAGCCCTCGCCACAAAGGACTCTTCATCCGAGTTCCAAAAGCATCGCGAAGCCTTACATCCTGAAAACACTACAGCACCCAGTAGACACCCCTAGCAGAGCCTTTCGCAGGACGTCGGCGGCGTCTTTGCGGCCAAGGGATGGAACGTTCTCCGCTTGGAGGATGGAAATCAGGTGAGTTCGCTGCTTGGCGGCGGTTCCTGGATGCTGGATTTTCGGAGGCCAAAAGTGGGGTTTCCGAAAATAGGGGACCCTAATATGGTACCCTGAATAGTAGGATCCTTATTTTTAAGGACCCCCAATATAAGGTACCCCCTATTTTCGGAAACTCCTAACTGGCTTTGGGAAGTGGGGCTTCAAGCAAAAAGGCGCTAATGCTCAGCTCGCTGGGCAGCAGTCAGAGAGTATTTTTTGGATTCTTAGTTGGAACGACGATGTTGACCGGCAATGACCAGACGATGGCGATGATGCTCTTGATGACAGGGGGCGATGGCAAAGTTCTTGATAGTTGCCCAGGAGAACGGTATACACGTACGTTCATCTCTACAGGTCTACCTGTGCTTCTACTGCTTTATGGTGGGACTACCATGCTTTCACAGTCATGCGACTCTGCAGCCTTTGTACTGGGACCCTTACCTCAAACGCGAGCTCCAGAAATCTCGGAATCCCAAAATTTCTTGGGGGAAGCGGATCAACGACGATAGGCCCTAAACCCTAAACCCTAAACCCTAAATCTCCAAACTCACTTCCCGATGCGACGGCTCAGGAGCGCCTACGAGGAGATCGTGGAGGCGGATGCAGGGTTGACGAGTAGTCGTGGTAAGAGTAGTAGTAGTAGCAGTAGTAGCGGTGGTCGTAGTGGCAGCAGCCGGAAGGGAGGAACAGGATGCAGTGGAAGAGAAGGGAGGAGGCGGAGGCGCAGGCGAGGAGCAGCAGCTGCAGAAGCAGCAGCAGGCGCAGTTTGGAGTCCTTCTTGGAGGTTCAGGGGTAGTTATAAGTGGGGTTATAAGTCCCCTAATATAGGTTATAACTTATAACTATAGTTGCCCTACTTATATCCCCACTTATAACTAACCATGAACCTCCAAGCAGCTTGTATCGGTTCCCTCTGAGAGGACGCGAGCTCTCCTTGAAACGTGGCTACGTATCGTGATGTGCTTTCTGCTTCACTGTGCGGCGCCAAGCCTGCTAACGCTAGGCTTTCGGAACTGCAACATCAACGTCAACAGCTACAACAGCAGCAGCAACATCAAAAGCAACAGCAACAGTAGCAGTAGCAGTGGCAGCAGTCGTCGTAGACGCCGTCGACGCAAGACGGTCAGGCCGTTACTTGTGTCAAACCTTCTCAGCATCATCCGTGAACTTCCCTGAACCCCTGCCCTCCCGCAATCCCAGAGCGAAGAAGCACCGAAAAGTGCCATGTCTAATGAGGCAATCCCCACCAAAAGTGCAATCTACGAATTTAGGTGACATCCGCCTTTTTTTGCAAGGCAGTGCAACAGCTTCCAAAGCTCGGCACCCTGAGCTGTAAACCCGCAACCCCAAGGGAGTAGGCCTCAAGGCGGACACCCTGAATTCGTAATCTTTCGGATTTGCCGTTACGGTCCCTTTTTCCCCTTAAGCTGCCCTAAACCCTAAACTAACCCCAAACCCCGAACTCACTCACTCACTCACTCACTCACTCACTCACTCACTCACTCACGCGCTTGCGGGCAGAATCCGGTGCGAACAGCATGCAAGGCCAAAAGCAAGCCCGCTGTGGGCTTACAGCCACCGATGAAAAAGACAGAAACGGGCGAGAAATGGCTCAGCCATGACCCGGCGACCGAGTCCTGTAGACAAAAGAAGCACGGACCGAAAGAACACGAGGGGAGGCAACCCCAGGGCGGCACGAAAGCAGGTCACCGAGGTCTCGACGCCAGAAGGGCGGAGGGCGCAAGGTGTGCGAAACAACAAAGACGGCAGAGCCGGACAGCCGCAGGAAATAAAAGCGAGCCGAAGGAAGAAGGGCACGTAGGAGCAAAAGACCAGCTCGACTTGGCGTGCCAAAAATCCAAATAAGACCATGCTCGTGAAGAGCTTCGCAGACAGAGCGAAATGCGACAGTAGCTGCGAGAAAATCCAGGAGGGAGGGTGCAGGGCCACGAGAGCTGAGATCAGCAGGGCCGGCGACTGCTTGGCGTAAGACAGACGAGGCAGAAAATGCATGGGGCGACCAAGGAGCAACCCCGAACCCTATATCCTAAACCTTTCGGCCCTACACCCTGAACCCCTAAACCGTTTAAACCCCAAGCCGCACGCCTGCGAGATCCTAAACCCTAACCCTGATCATTGAGCCCTAAACCCTAATGCCCGCGAGGAGGCAAAATCCCAGAAGGAGAAGCCGCAGCTCCATCGCAGAGAGGGTTTGGGGTTTCGGGCCTAAAATTTAGGGGCCCATCTCTTTTCGGGGTTAGGGTTTAGGGTTTCATCCTCTTTACAACCCCTCAGTCATTTTTTGGCCTCCCTCGAACGCTCTCCTGTGCCCCCCTCTTTTCTCACCACCCCCTCCTTTACAACCCCGTCGCCTTATTCGAGTCCCATCGTCTTTCTCTGCCCCCTTCCGCCTGCTCTTGTGCCGTAGGGAGTGTCAAATCCCCGCCTCTGATTTTGATCGATGCCTGCCTCTTGCCTGGCTCCTCTTCCAACCCTCCCCTGACAAGTGGCGACGCCTTCCAAGAATTGGAATCAAGGAAGAAAGTGTTGGACTGGGTGCTAACTGTTATGCCAGTTTTTTTTTTGGGTTTAGGGCTTAGGGTCTTTGCTCAATCCAGGTCCAATCCCCCTAAGCCGCCATCCCGATCTCAACCCTGAGCAGCGGACCCTAAGCCTCATTTGCCAGCCACTTTCCCTAAGCCACTGTTAACCCTAAACCCTAAACCCTAAACCCTAAACCCTAGACCCCAAACCCTACACCCTAAACCCTAAACCCTAAACCCTCAAGCCGACGGCTACTTGGAGGTTCATGGGTGGTTGTAAGTAGAGTTATAAGTCCCCTAATACAGGCTATAAGTAGAGTTGCCCTGCTTATAACCCTACTTAGAACTAGCCATGAACCTCCAAGTAGTGCTGTTTATGACATCCCAGAAATGTTTTTTTTTCGGGGCCCCTTCTGGTTTATCACCGCAAGCCTACATCGGAAGCCTCTGTTTAGGGAGAGTCGCGGGGGTTTCTAGTGCGCAGTGCAGGGTCATGTCATCCGCTGTGTTGAGCATATTGCAGAGGAAGTTGGGATGCCCAATACAGGAGCCTGGTGAGTATCTCGCTGTAGCAGTCTAGCTAATATGGGAATCGAATCACTAGTAGTCATATTCCTCTTACAGCCCATTTATAGTTGTACAAATCCTTTGCTAATTTTTTTGAAGGCCCCTTGAATGATTTCAGTGTGCTCTTCTCCCTCGTGTGTTAGGGAATTTCGCTGACGTTGCCATCATTGGGATGCATAGTAAGCTATGCAAACTCCTAAAGCTGAGCATTGAGGACGCAAACCCGGAACCTTCAACCCCAAACCCTGAAACCTAAAGCGTAAACCCAAAATCCGAAACTGAGGACCATCACCGCATATTGTACTGTATTGCATTCTTTTATATTACGAACTATACTACAGTCTACTTCAATGCAGCTTATGATACTATTTACGACTGTTTTCGTAACAATCCAGGCTGAGGGCTATGTCCTAAACCTGAAACACCCAAATTAGCCAAAACCCCTAAACCTTAAACCCAAAATTACTTTAAAACCCAAAATTGCTGTAAACCCTAAATTACTTGTGAACCCTATACACCTTAAACCCCCCAATACCTGAGTACCATCATCATCTGTAACCTTAAACCCTAAATTACTTTAAACTTTAAACCCTAAACCTTAAACCCTAAATTAGTTTCGGCCCCAAACCTTATAACTCCTATAGTAGCTAAGGACCATCATCTACAACCTTAAACCCTAAATTACTTTAAACCCTATAAACCTAAGCCCCTAAAACACCTGAGGACCATCATCATCATGAAGACGACGATCGGCTGCGGAGCGGGGAAAGGCGTCGAGGCGACGTCGAAGGCCCACGGCGGCAAGTTCTCGAACCTGGAGGTCGGGCGTAAGTGCTGTTAGGGTTCAGGGGGTGTTTAGGAGTTTTAGGGGTTTAGGGAGTTTAGGGGTTTAGGGTTTAGAGGTTAAGTTTAGGGGTGCTCTTCGTGCTGTTAGGGCCGTTAGGGGCTTAGGGAGTTTAGGGGTTTAGGGCCGTTAGGGCGGTTAGGGCCGTTAGGGTCGTTAGGGGTTTAGGGGTGTTTAGGAGTTTTAGGAGTTTTAGGGGTTTAGGGAGTTTTGGGGGTTTAGGGGTTTAGAGGTTTAGGGTTGGGGGTTTAGGGGGCTTTAGGGGCTTTGGGGTTTAGGGGGTTCAGGGGCTTAGGGGTTTAGGGGTTTAGCGGGTTCAGGGGTTTAGGGTTTAGGGGTTTAGGGGTGTAGGGGTTTAGGGGTTTAGGCGTTGAGGGTTTAGGGTTTAGGGGCTTTGAGGTTTTGTGTTCAAGGTAGACGTAGACATGGGGGCTTATTTGAAGGAGTTTAGGGTTTGGGGTTTTGGGGTAGTGACGGTTACAGTGTAGATTGGCTTCTGTGGGCTCTTGGTTGGGGTTTCCGGGACTTCGTGCTTAGCATTCATGGTTGTCCAGGATCTTGGGTCGGTGTTGCTTCGGGTCTCCGGTTTAGGGTTTCTGGTTTCGGCTATTTCATTCAGGTCATGACTTCAGGTGTTGCAGCAAAAAAATACCGCCTGCACAGTTCAAGACACACAAAATCACCGCACAGCCCCTGTTGACTACAAGACCCTGCTATGCTAAGAACCTTCCTGAAGCCCTTCACCCTACCACCTCCCCCAATCTGTAAAAAGAACACCCATGTGACAGCTAACCCACATCCTGAAGCGTCAGAACCGTGAACCTTGGTGTTAAACGTTGTTGCAAAGCAATTAGTCGGCGACGCCTTCATGTATCCAACCACCCGGAACACTCATAGAACCTTTGCACCGTGACGGAAACTCCTCAGGCATCCTGATGGAACCCTGGCTCACCAGGTCCTTTTGAGGCCACCCAAAACCCCAAAACCCAAAACCCTAAACCCTACGTCTACGTAAAACCCTCAAGCCTAAACC